AAGTAATATATATATATATATATATATATATATATATAGATTGAAAAAAAGGGAAAGTCCCATGCAAGAGTTATCACACCTTCAATTGGAAGAGGAGAGAAGAAGCAGACGAAACGAGAAGTAAAAGTATACAAGACTGCATATGTATGTAGCTGCCGGATCTGCGCCGAGTGTTGGAGCTTGTCTTACCCGCCCATCTTAGGTTCAGGACTGCTGAGCAACTGGTCTACTTGGTTTTTTCCAGAGTCGAGTTCTTAACGACCGCCTGTGATGCCGTGTCGAAATCTCGAGAGACGAGATGTAGGGGGGCTGGGGGAGCGAGAAAACTTTGACGACGGGTTTGGAAAATTTCCAGACTCTCTAATGACTTCAGAGAGAGAGAGGAGAAAGTAAAAAAAAATCCGTTTCATGCTTGCCATGTTTTTTTCCAAGGATCAATCATTCAACGGTTTCGAGACGGGAGTATCCTGCCATTCTATCGACTTTTTATGAGACATCTACTCCATAAGATCTCGACGTCTCCTCGAGTTATCTAACCAGGACTCCATGCCAGCCATCAGAAAAAGAAGAGGAAAATCGCACCCACAAACATGCCTGCCATCGCTCGCATGCTAAAACAGGCATATGCTTACCTGAACTCGTTCATGAACTCCTTGTGGAACTTGGTAATGCGGCCAACCCACTCGGTGCCTGGTGCGAGGAACGTCGTTCTGAAATGAAGAGTATTTTCCTTCTGGCCGAAGCCTGATCCTGCAACCACGCAGACTCCAGTTGCATCCAGGAGACGGAAAGCGTAGAACTCATCTGGAGAGCGACCTTCTTTCTTGGCGGCTTCGATGACCTTTGGAGGGAGGTTGATGGTGGGAAAGAGGTACATGGATCCCTGATATTGGTTAGCAGTAGCTCCAATAATAGTTAAGATATGTTTACTTGAGGCTCGTCACACTCAACACCCTCCATCTGCTTGAAAGCCTCGTAGAGCGCAGTAGCTCTCTTCTGGAGGCCAGCAAAGATGCCATCATACTCTTGCTTGTACAGCTCGTAACTTGGCGAGCCCTCCTGAGGAGGGTTAACCATCATCTCCACCAAGCATTGGCCGACGACTGGCGCACACAAGCTGATCGATACAAACTTGTAGATCTGCTCAACAACCTCTGGGTCAAAGCCACAGAGCTCAAAGTATCCACCGCGATGACCACACTCGCCGACCATACCTTTGGAAATACTGTGCAGCGAAGCAAGTTCCACATTCTTGTACTTCTCCGAGTCCGCCTTTTGCATCTCTCTCAAGATGCGCTTGAAGCTGTGGAATTTGCCTTTGAAGACATTTGTTTGGTAGACCTCGTCTGCCATCAGCACAAGCTTCTCCTGGGCCGCAAATTCAATGACAGCCTTGACATCGTCGGCGGAGAGACTGGCCCCCGTGGGGTTTCCAGGGTTGATGATGACAATCGCGCGCACGTCGGTCCCTTCAGACACAGCTTGTTTGTATGCGGCCTTGATAGCCTCGAGATCTGTTCCCCAGCCCTTGGACTCGTCTAGGTAGTAGGGGACGCACTTCGCGTCGAGGACGGCGAGAGAAGCGGTGTAGAGTGGGTATTGAGGGATAGGGACTAGAACTCCCGTATTGGGCGAAGCGGCCATAATGTGCAGAAGAGTGTTGACTCCTGAGGAGGCACCTGCCGAGAGGTAGATGTCTTTCGCATCTGCTGGGAAGCCGTCTCGTCCTGATGAGTGATTAGCAAAGATAGCACAGAGCCCCCAGGACGTATTGAACCCACTCTCAATGAACTTTGCGATGCTCTCCTTGATCCCTGGGGCCCCAGCACTTGCACTGTATGCACCCACTGATCCCACCGTCTCAAGCAGCCATCTCGCCCTCTCGATAACATCAGGCTTGTAGCCCAACTGATTGAGCAGCACATCTTCCTTCTCCAGCAACGGAGGGTATTCCACCAGACTCAAGACCTGTCTGAAAAAAGTAATCGGCTTCTGGTCCAGCTGCTGGGGGTTTCCGATGTTTGCCGAGATGACCTGGTCGAAGGGCAGGCTCTTGTCTCCCTTGTCCAGTCTTGCTCTGTACTCCTCCGACCGCACAGCCAGTTCTCCCCTGACGGCGTACTTAGCCTCCACGATATGCGGATTGACGTTGTTGATGTTTAAGCTTCGGAGACGGGTGGTGGACGACATGGCGCGGAGGTGGTGGTGGTGTTGATGGTAGGGTTGAGAATCTTCTGGGAAGAAAAAAGTCAGAAGGTAGTCACAACTAAGTACTGCCCAGCGGCCGGCATGGCATACTTTATCAATTTTGCTCTTTCCCCTCACTCGTACGGCGTGGCAAAGATAGGGAAAAAAAAGTGGACCATGACCCCGCGCCAAGCAAAGGAAAGGAAATACTTAAATCCATCATCCATGGGCTATCACCCATCCCACGTACCTGAGGTTGGTGCACGTGATGCCCATTTGCGGCCAAGGCGATATGACTGCGAGCGGAGAGAGGGCAGCCGGTGGATCATTGGGCGCCTGGACGAGAGAGATAATGACGCATTGAGGGCAGCCATGCTGATCAGAACATCAGAACGCCAGAACGATTCATCGCGGAAAGAGTGGAGTGGAGACGGCAGGTGAGGAATTAAGGTTTACAGACCGAGTGCCTCACTAAGTATCAGCCTAATTCTGCCGGACGATTTGATTACTAAGCACATTTTTTCCTCCAGGCGGTGAGGACCCAGAAAGGGTCTGATACGTACCGGTACCGGTAGTTGCCTTCTTCAATGCCACCACGAGTCACGAGTCAGGATCCCGAGTATAATTGCGCTCATCTTTTCGACTTCATGTTGACATGTACTCAGCAATGTCAACATTAGCGTTTCAACGTATCAGAATTGGGGTCGTTCAGGGCTAGCCGCTTACCTAGGTATTCTAGGAGTACGTTGAGCTCAACTTGGTGCTAAGATACGTTGGCCCCCTTGGGCGAGAGGAAACCACTTCAAAGTCACTGCAAATGCGCCCCAAAGAAATCAGATCAAACATGTTGCTCTCAACCTTTATCTTTTTCTTACGGAACCTGTGCAAAAATTTGCCACTATCCTAGTCCTCCTGTTTATGCACAGATGCTCTTCTTTCAGCTGTTTGTTGACAAAATCTCGCTTGGCAATTTTGACCAGTGGACCTCTATCTGTTACAGGTCGGCGAATTGTCAGGCAGTTACATCGTACGTCTTTGACTACGTGCTGACCTAGTGAAGTCAAATTTTTATAGATCATTAGATGAAACTGCTTATTTCCAAACGAAAGAGCTAAATCAATATAGCTTGTTTACTTTTCGAGACTCGCTTGGCCGAGCTGCTTTGATCATCGTCTAATCGGTCGAGAGCCCTCGTTCCAGGTACCGCAGACTCACGTTCCGTTTTTCATAATGAATATGTTCGAGTTCCCCGAAAGAAAGATGGGCGATACCGAAATAATTAATTTGTCGTCAAGTGATGACCCCCTGCGCGATACATACGCTTCTTGTATGCTAACCGCCAAATCGCAAAACCCAAAGCAGACCGCTCCGTCCTTTTCTCCCAGCCTCTCCCTCAAACCCTAACAACTATCTCAACCTCCCCCTCAAATCGCTCCCCAGAATCCCTGCCCGCCTCACAATTCACAATTCACAGCTCACCAGCCTCCCCTCCCTCCCGATCAACAGCATACCCCCCATACCCCCCATACCCCCGCACAACCGTATAGCGTCCCTTGACCTCAACCTTTTTCGTCTGCATGCACGACGCGCACCAGCCCGGTCGATCCTGCAGGTTGCGGGTGGGGAGCCACGCGGAGCTCTCGCCGCACTTGTCCGGGGTGGAGCACGTCTCGAGGGACACCCATTGGCGGTGCAGGCATTGCAGGTACGTCCGGTAGGTGTGGGTGCACATCTTTGGTCGTGGCTTGTCCGCCTCTCTCTCTGTGTGTGTGTTTTTTTGCGTCTGGTGAGAGAAAGGGGTGTGTGGGTGTGCTTGCGAGCGTGGTTTTCGTTGTTGTGCGCCTGGCTTGAGTGTGGGTGGTTGGGTGGGTGGGTGCGTACCTGCCGCGTTGGACGACTGGTAGTAGTTTTGACAAAAGTATCCGGGGCGTGTTTTGATGGAAGGTATCGCGTGGTACTTTTTTACGCGTAGAGTTGACTTATTTACGCGTTTGGATCTGCCGACTAGCGCTTGATTCACTTTTCGTCCATGTTACCTTCTGGTCATTTTCGGAGAGGCGAAATCGGGACCACCAGTAGCTATATGTAAGAATTCTGCTACTTGTCAGCTGATCTTACTAATAGTATCAACATTGCAGTTTATAAGTCGAAACTTCCGCAGCCTATGACAAAATGGAAGGTATGTTGCTCTGTACTTCGTTCGACAATGAGAATTCAGCGAGGCTATTCTGTCAGTTCGTGACATGTTTAGACGCATGCAGAATTCTGTAGATTTCCTCTGTCATGTCCATGGTGAGGAGCCTAGATTCCAACCACTTTCCCCAATGATGGCAAATTCCATGAAATAATACACGCCATAAAGTGGCTGGCAGTTCCCCATCCAGCCCATGAGCATGATCTCCATCCATACGATGACCCATAAACTCCCGAAAATGCAGTGTCAGATGTTTGAGCAACCCTTAGACCTTGTAAAAGCAGAAGCCGACGTAGAAGCTGGCAGCCTCCATTTCCCCATCGCTCACCAGCAATGATCCACGGCCTCTCTCTCGAACACCCATGCGCTCACTCAACGGACCCAAGATCTCATCATCCTTCTCCGTTCGCCAGATCTCGTCAAAGGTCTTATGATATTGCATCTCGAGGTTGTAGTCTTCTGCTATAGCACGGAAAGCCTCCCATGGGACCACATACTCGGGAACCTCCTCAACGGCCTCATGTAGGTAGAAATTGTACTTCCATCCAAACGGAGGACGGAAGATGCCATCTGCTGGAGTCTTGCCTGGAAATCGTACTCGGTAGATGTCGTTGCCCCATTCTGCACTAGCTTCCGCCTCGCCTTCTTCGATTTCTCCCTCGTCAGCTTTGTCTTTCTCGTCTTCGGGTTTCTCGCAATCTTGCTTAGCTTTGTCATTCTCCTTGAGAGCCTGGCGGGCGTTGAATTGTTCCACTCTACTACTCAGAACGTCGGAGTTCGGTATGGTACCGATAAATCTGCCGCCCTTCTTGAGAGCTCCTGCGACATTCTTGAGCATCTGGCGGGCTTTTCCCTCGCTCTCAAAGGCGTAATGCATGCAGAACATCATGCTGACAACATCGAATCCACCTCCGCCAAATCTCGATGGTCCTCCAGACCCATCGAAGCCAACATCTCGAATCAGCGGGATCTTTTCGATGCTCTCGCCAAAGCAGTCCTGCACGTAGAATTCGCCATCAAACAAGGGTGGTTGTGGTCTGCTGTTATGTCCTCCTCTACCACCCCCCCTGCCACGTCCCCGCCCTCCCCCACCACGGCTAGACATTTGTCGGTATCTTTCCTTGGCTTGGTCGATCGAGATGTCTGCTGGGTCTAGACCAACATACAATGAAACCGGTTGCGGTGCCTGTTGCCATTTTCCCAAGTCCCCTCCCTTGCCACATCCAATGTCCAACACCAGTAGGCCTTGAGTGTTTGCTGAGCCCTCATCGAAGCTCATGCCTCCGCGCTCTTTTGTTGGAGGAGAGTAGTCCTCTGCCGGGGAAAACTTCTGAATAACTGTGCTCTTGACCCAGTTGTTGAAGCTTCGAAGACCCTTGATACGACTGTCTGTCTTGCGCCAATCTCGGCCTCGCTCTGGAACCGCATTGTAATGTTGCTTAACGGCATCATGAATTCCTTGCTGGGCGGCTATCGCTTCCAACTCTTTCTCGCGCTCAAATTGCTTCTGTTTTATATGCTGTCGCTCGGCATCAGTGATTCGGGCGCGCTGACCTGGCCGCTTTTGCTTCCGAGCAGGAGGGGAATCAGATCTTCGTCGGGGCGAAGGTGATCTTCTTCTAGAGTCTGAACGATTATCTTGACGCTTTGGGGTAGGATTGGAAGGCGATCGGGAGCGTCTGCGCTTTTTCGCTGGCTCGAGTTTGTTGGCATTGAATAGAAGAGGCTGGTCATCGACAGGAGACGGCTCGTGCGCCCTCCCGGCCATTGTTGCAGCGTTGGTAGGTAGGTATCGAGAGGAGAATATCCTTGACCCTTTTCTGTAGGTGTAAGGTGGTAATAAGGCGACCCGGTTCCGTCTTGGGTGGTGCGCCGGTGACCAAAGGATCTGGCTGAAGCCAAAATGTAGAAGAGGTACCGGTAGCTTCGCGTAGCTAGAGCCCCAGAATCAGAATCAGAATCAGGCCCACCAACGCGCGGCAAGCTAGTCCTAAAATGGGAGCTCTACAAGTGAGATCAATGAATGGGTCTACAACCTCCGTTCCTCAACTCGAGACCTGCTTCAACTCTACGCAAACAGAATCTCAACCATCATAGTATTCTCTCCGGTCAAGATGGGCTCCGATCCCCAGTATGCGAAATACCCTCTCCTTCCCATTGCTCAACACATCTTCACTCTTACCAACCCCTCTGCGCCGAAACCAGTCCAGCAATTGTCTCTGAAGAGCCTCCAAGATGCGATCACCGAGCACAAGATGGCACCGCTTTACCGGTATTTGGCCCATCCGACAGAAGGTATCCTAAATGAGAGCGGTGTCAGCTCCTCACAGTCAACCAAGCCTCTGGGACGCAAACCAAGCGCGGCTGGCCTGGTGGCAAGCAAGCACTCGATACCCAAAGTTGATCTGCCATGGGACGAGTCTCTGTATGAGAAGCTGAAGAAGGAGAACGACGAGGAGTTAGAAGGCTTCAAGAAGGAAGAGGAAGAGGCCGCAGAGAAGGCTGGAGAGACGGAAGTTCAAGCTGCAAGAGGGAAGCGGGCAGAGTTCTGGGCACGAGTCGGTGACAAGGTATGGAAAGCGTGATTGGGAATCAAGAAAAACCTGCTGACATGCGGCAACTCTAGGATCGTGCAATTGCAGCGTATGAGGAGGTTTTCGAGAAGACCGGAGTTCTGGGAACCAAGATCGACATTGTGCTTGCCATTATCCGGATGGGACTCTTCTACGGAGACAAGATGCTTGTTAAGAAGCATGTCGATCGGGCGAAGACACTGGTTGAGAGTGGTGGAGACTGGGATCGCAGAAATCGACTGAAGGCATACCAAGGTCTTCATCTCCTTACCGTCCGGTCATACTCTGCGGCTGCTCCTCTCCTCCTCGACAGTCTTTCTACATTTACTAGTTACGAACTGTGCAGCTACTCCTCGCTGGTCGTCTACTCAGTCTTGGCAGGATCTGTGTCGCTTAAGCGTGTCGATTTCAAGTCCAAGGTTGTTGATGCGCCTGAAATCAAGGCAATTCTTGGTGATGGAGAGGATAAGCTTCTGGCTCTCTCCGGAGCTCTATCTGCTGGTCCTGGTGCAGATGAAGAGATGAAGGAAGTTTCCTCGGCAACACCTGCCAAGACTGCCGTCAATCTCACAACACTTGGAAGCGACCAACCTGAGGCTGAGGTTGCAGTTGACTTCTCGCCCTTGGCACAGCTGGTTGGCAGCTTGTACACTGGAAGCTACCGATCATTCTTCGGAGCTCTTGCAGCTGTTGAGGTCAACTTCCTCACCCAAGATAGATACCTTTACGAGCATCGCGGATGGTTCGTCCGAGAAATGCGCCTTCGTGCTTACCAGCAATTGCTGCAAAGCTACCGTGTCGTTGGTCTTGAGAGCATGGCTAATGACTTTGGTGTTTCTGTGGACTTCTTAGATCGGTGAGCTCACCAATTTCATCCCGATCTTAACATGCTGACTCCTCTTAGTGATTTGGCCAAGTTCATCGCCGCCGAACGAATCCCATGTACCATTGATCGTGTGACTGGAAAGGGCATCATCGAGACTAACCGCCCAGATGATAAGAACAAGCAATATACCGATGTTGTCAAGCAAGGTGATCAACTTATTACGAAGCTCCAAAAGTACGGCCAGGCAGTCAGGCTGAGAGGCAGCGAGCGCGCATAAATGGAAAGATCATTGGTGAATGACTCAATGCATATTTGCTTTTGTAAGATATGGCGGAGAATAGAGCAGCGCCTTTGCATGAGATAATCCATAGCTTGCGCTCATGGTCCGCAGCCTCTTTGGGCGTCCAAGAATCCAAGCAAAGTCGCGATGATTCATTTATCTGACGCCTTTAACCTCCATGATTTCACTTTACTACGTCCTTCTTACTAGCTGAAACTTTGGTATAGTTTGTTAATGCTGAAGACAAATTAAGTACACCCAAGTCTTCAAGTGAAGGCTCGAATACTAAAATATACAGGTGGTTGTTGCACTGGCGCCACGCTTAACTTCCATACGTTTCTTGGGTCTTGTACAACCACAGAGCAAGCAGATCTGTGCGACGCCGTTTCTTCCCAATCGCTAAAGATTCTCTTTCGAGCAATAGCGCAAGCCTCCTTCACCGATCTTCAAGGGCTCCACGCGAGCCACACGAGACGTTTGAAATCACAATACCGCGTCTCCCTCCCAGAACGCCTGCTTCTGGATGCAGAACGCAGAGGATATAGGATACGGAGAGAATGCAGAATTAAAGGGATGTAGAATGCGGCTATACAATATACAGACTCTAGACTTTGGACTTTGGACTTTGGACTTTGGACTTTGGACTTTGGACTTTGGACTCGCACTTTGCACTTTGCACTCTGCATTCTGTACTTATATTTGCAGCAGATAATAGTTGTAGATAAGTTCTATTGACGAGCTGCTCCCTTCCGATAATGTTACAAATAAAGCCAAATGATGTTTCAAACATCATTTATCCATGGAACGAAAGATTCAAGGCTCGGTGGTCCAAGATTTCCTTCAATATTCCATTTCTCCCAATCAACAAATTCGCTCGAATGGGCTAGCAGCTCTTCCTTTGTTTCAAAGCATTTAGCCCAAAAATCCAACTCATCGTCATTTAAAAAATCGCTTGGAATTAGCATCTGCAAGTCCGAACTGGAATTGTAGATCCATGCGAAGCGTAGCACTCTGTCGGGGTCTTCTGGTATATTATACTTGATATAGTGTACGATAAGTTCTTCGCCCCCGCGCCACAACACTCTATCCCGAATACCGGACCAACTCATGACCTGAAAATATTCCGGGATGAATATCTTGCGCGCCTCTGCAAACTTAGTCTTATCCGCTTTAATAACACAATACCAATTTCTTATATGTGGATTACCTGCCCAGCTAGCAGGTTTTTGTGCTATTTGGATGATTAGCTTAGCGTGATAGGTGACGATAGATACAAATTAACTAACTTAGGTACAAGCCGTCTCCTAGTTGATTGATGTGCGCGCGAGCTCCATCGTACCATGGATCTCTGGTTGGCTTATTGTCCTCATTGATTTCCTCGGCTTCCACCTAAAGTTCGAGTAATTAGTATAGGCTTATCATATTGTATAAATCAAGCGGAACTCACTGGGTCAACTGTTCGATAGCCGATAACTATTCTTTCACTTTCTGAGGGATCTCCTTGAGCTCTGTTAAAGAGAAAGCTCAGGGCTAGCAAGATCGCGCCGACAGATTTCAATCGTAGCATCGTACTTCGTGTTTGCAGATATCTGAAGTAGTTCTAGAGGTTGAGCTGACGACGAGGAATATGCATGTCAAAACAAAGATTGAGAAAGAGGTTTACGAGTTCATTTTGAAGTGAGGTGCAAGAAGTAATATCTTTCTTTAACTGATTTGATCCCATATTCCATCTACTTTATTAATACCCCAAGCATACGCTAATACCTGGTCGGATCTAAGTATAAAGTACCAAGAGACGGATCCCAAAGCTTATACATGTCGGACCCAGTTTGGGCCCATAAATCATAGAGCGGTGGTTTCTT